AGTCTTGATCCCCAGTAGGAGGCATTCAGAAGGCAGCCAATCAATGATTCTTTCTCATCAATGATATTTCTATCTCCCTCTCCCTTCCTCTCCGAAATAAAAAAAAAAAGTGTTTTAATAAAATGTGCCTTGTGCCCTGGCCAGTTTGGTGAAGTGGTTAGAGCGTCGGCCTGCCCACAGAAGGATTGGATTCCCAGTCAAGGGCGCACATACTTGGGTTGCAGGTTCAATCCCATCGGGGTTGTATGGGAGGCAACCAATCAATGTGTCTCTTTCACATTGATGTCTCTCTCCCTCCTTCCTTTCCTTCTATTCTCCCTAAGAAAAAAAAAAATCAATGGAAAAAAAATATCCTTGAGTAAGAATTCACCCAAAAATGAAAAACCTTTTGTATATTTTCACCAGTTTCTGAAATGGTACGTAATAGCTAAAAGAGAATACTTATGTCAAGATAAACAAAAATAAATGTGCTATCTATGAAAAAAAATGTTTATAAAATGATTGCCGCCCTAGCCAGTTTGGCTTAGTAGGAGGAGCATCTGCGTGTGGACTGAAGGGTCTCAGGTTCGATTCCGGTCAAGGGCACATGCCTGGTTTGCGGGCACAATCCCCAGTGTGGGGGTAGCAGGAGGCAGCCAATCAATGATTCTCTCTCATCATTGATGTTTCTATCTCTCTCCTTCTTCATTCCTCTCTGAAATCAATAATGGTATATTTAAAAAAAAAGAAAAAGATTGTCATCACAAAATAAAAGCTATTTGTTAGATAAAATGAAAATTATACTTTTTATTTTATTTTTAATCCTCACCCGAGGATATGTTTTTATTGATTTTGGAGAGTGGGGGGAAGGAAAGAGAGAGAGAAAAACATTGATTGGCTGCTTCCTGTATGTGACCTGACCTAGAATCAAGCCCACCACCCTTCAGTGCACAGAACAATGCAACCAACTGAGCTACACTAGCCAGAGTAAAAATTATGCTTTTTAAAAAATGGGGAAGTCATTACTAACACAATAAATAAGTTGTTTATATTTTATTTGTTAATCTCTTTATAGC